TTTTTTTTTTTTTTTTTTTTTTTTTTTTTTTTTTTTTTTTTTTTTTTTTTTTTTTTCCTGGACAGAGGTTGCTCTTGAACTGTTAACTGCAAATATTTCAATTTAAAATGAAATCTATAGAAGCTATTTTGGATTTGGCACCACAAGTCGTAGCCTTTTTAACGTCTCCGTAAAGACACAGAAATAACTTTAAGAATGCAGTATATGATGCAAAATACTGCAACTACAGTTGAATTCAGCCTCTTCAAACATTTTACAGTTTCCACTTAATAGCAGTTGCTGCCATGACCGTTCCCATCACAGTATTTGCCTAACGGAATGTTTTTGAAAATGAATTCTAAAGGCGATTTAACAAAATGAAAGGAAATATGTTATAAACATGAAGTATTTTCTGAAAATATTTGGCATTTGCCTATTTATTGCTCTATGCTGTACTCTTAGGAATTAGTGTGAAAATGTATGTGAGGCTTTAATATATACAAATCTGCAAAAATTCACAGACAAAAATTAAATAGATGTTATTTGACTGAATAATAACATTTAATCTTATTCAAAAATTCAGAACTGAGAGCTATTTACAGCAATACATGACTATCTCAGCAGTTTTAAAGAACTAAATAACATCCTGTGCATTTCATTCCCAGTCTAGGTCTTTACTCAGGTTCAGACAAGGATGCAGCTGCTGTAGAAATGAAGTACTTGTACCTCATCGCCCTTCTCTCCCGCAAGCCCAGGAAATCCACGTTCACCTTTGCTTCCCTATGAAAACATAACGTTCAAACAAATATTTCCTTTAGAGAACAATGAATTTCATGTTCTGTAGGGCATTTTATGACCCACATTTAATATATATTACTATGAAGCCCTCACAGCCATAGAGCCTAAAGCAGAAAAAAAAAGAAAGGCTCAAAACTACCTAAAAGCTTTAAAATATGACTCCCAGTGAGGTGAAAGGAAATGAGTGGTTTATACCTAGCAGGCAAACTAGTCAAAAGGCCTGACGGAGACATTAACACCAACGAGCTCAAAATGCTTGTGAAATGAAGAAAGTTCCCTTTCATGGAATTAGACTCAGTGATGGAAGATATCTATATGCCAAAGCATGTGGCATTTGATCTGATGACAGTGCAGCAGGATTTTGATTGATGTCAGTGAAACTTCAAGTCCCAGTGAAACAGCTGTGTTATTCCCATGGGAACAGAGCGCAGAGGCACAGGGGGGTCCAAAACTTACCTTTGGCCCTTCTCTACCAGGGATGCCTGGAGGACCTCTTGTGCCAGGATCACCCTGTGGAACAGACAGAAAGCAAAGTGACAAATAACAATTTCTGTTACATAGATCTGATCCATGCAGATCAATTAATGCAGACTGCTTCCTTCCTACCTGTCTCACCATGCCTACATTTTACCCCAAAGCCCTCTCTTCAAAGCTCTGTTCTAAACAATATACTTGTTCAGAGAGTCTTCCTTGTTTCCCCCTCAGCTCTCTGCTAACACATATTTTACTTCATTTTAGGTAGTCCCAGACACACCTGCGTTTAGGTTTGCGCACTCCAAATTTTGTTATTTTTCAAAATACTACCTCAAAAATTCTAGACTATTTTCCCTATTTGGTATATTACTGAAATTAATGCTAAAAACTAAAAGTGGAAATGGGGTATATTTATGGCAATTTATGTTGTGTATTGGATGTGTTGGATAGGCACTTGCTGGCTCCTACCTCACACACCTTCAAACACTATTTTGCAAAATTCCTATAAGATACATACCTCGTGTATTTTTAGAAAACAAATAAAAAATCTACAAGAATCACAACATTTTTTTTAGGCTAGACCCGTGGGCCAGAATTGAACCTACAGAAACTTTTAAATGCATATTTTGATTTAAAAAGCATGTTTATAGCAAATGTATATATTTAACCTCTGAAAATATTTACCTTCAGTATAGCACCCATGTCTCCCACAAGTGGCAGTGCAACCTGAAATTAAAAAAGCAGCTGCAGTTAATATTTTGCACAATGTTACTAATTATGATGTGTTCTCATTACTTCTAAAGTTTATATTGTTACAAATAGAGCTGATTATATACATATATATATAGGTTGAAGCTATTTTTTCTAATGAAAATTCAAAATTAAAAACAGGGTTTCAAATACAGTTAAATAACGCTGTCTATTCAACCTCACAATTATAATTTTTTGTTACATTTTAAAGAACTTTCTTAAACCATGACAACATCATAACTCCTGAACATACTAATATTTTTGGTTTTGTTGCATATCAGCAACTACTTAACACAACTGGAAAATGTCACAGACTATTCTCACTTGATCATCTTCAATTGTTTTTCCTTCCCCTTTCTCCTACCGTCAACTGCAGCGCAAATTCTGGAGATGCCAAAGATAGTTTCCATAAATTAGCTCAGATACTGGAAATAATCCAGCTACAGAAACATGACCATTTTGTCCTGTCTTTAAATGTTAAGTATTAGTGCATAAGTCTGTGGTGCCACTGCCAGATTGGCTACTAAAGCTAACCCATTTAAAGATCAATCAATAGGATTACACTTCCTGCAGCATGTCTCAGACTTTCAAGACCTGCCATTAAACTCATATTTAAAGATTCCCTGCAGAAACTCATTGCCCTTGTTATGATCAGCTTTACTCACAAATGGAGTCTCCAATTACCAATGCTTGTTTCTTCTGGCAATTGCTAAATAAAAAAATGCCCTGGGCATACTATAAAATTAGGCACATTCAAAATATATTAACTGGTTTTGTTCAGTCTGTTTCAATAATTTCCATCTCAAAAAACAAAATGTAATCACTTTTGTAGCATATTAGAAAAAACTGCCAGTTAATAGCAACGTGTTTCAAATATTATCTCAGGAGACAGACTGCTGAACATACTTAACCATAAACATAATTGGGAGTACACCACTTAGAGGGTAGCACCCTCAACCTTGAAAGTAGGCTGATAAGTTTTCCAGGGTGAGACATCACCACCTAACACACCTAAGGACATGACTAGGTAAGGTGTGAAGTTCATCCTTTGCACAGAGGTAAACTGCATATAGACAGTGTCACCTGCTCTTAAAAACCTGTAACAAGACTTTAAAACAATTACCACGTACTTTTCTCCCTTCTTTTGACAAAATTTTACAGCTAGTCAGGCTATGATAGTGTTACTTGATGGTCTTCCTGCTGGACTACAGAATTGTAATTTCCCCAGGCTCTCCTCTTTTCTAGCATTCTCATTTTAGCTGCTATATCATTTTATGGTACAGGACCCCAAACCCTTAGTGTGAAAGGTGCAAGAGCACACTAGGTACAAGAGTAAGCCTACCACGTTTGTGCCATACAGCTCCTCTGCTCTCTATGTATGATGAGTCCAGTCCAACTGCACACACACTTAAGAGTCATAACTCTGCGTGCCAAACTAAGTGTATGATATATAGCGGGATTTTGAAAATGTTAAAATGGCCTTAATTCTCCAGAATCACTCTTGCTTGCCACATCTTCCTTTAAAAAAATGTTATTTCCAAAGAGAAGAGTATTTCAAGACAGCAAAAGACAATAATGCTCCTGTTAGTAAGTTTTATAATTTAGATCTGTCTATTTAACAGCAGCATCAAATATCTTACCTAAATTTAGTTTACAATGAATGCACTGTGCCTTCAAGATGTATTCTACTTATGGATTTTTCTTTTTCTTATTAAGCACTTCATGCTCATCTATGTCAACTTAAATCTTGTTGACTTCAGATGGCCATTGAATTTTGATTATATCTTCAAAAACCAAGCAATCTTTCCCAGTCCAATTTCAGAGTTTATATCTATCTACCCTAATAAAATTAAATCACTGACAAGAACTGAGCATGGGAGAGACCTCTCTTTCCAAGTCTGACAGTTCTGCTGATAGATACTCAGATCCATAATTTTTGATAAGCATCAGCTACATGGCAAGTAATTCTAAGTGTTTTTTGCTTGCTTACAAAAACATCATGAGGACAGTCTCAAAGTTTTATTGAGGCAAAGGTATGTAACATGACTGTTTTCCTGTCTTTCCCAGGAAAGCATTTCCACTTTGTCATTCATATCACTGGTCCTTCTAGATTCGTTATGCTATTCACCTCCTTTAAACTTAAAATATTTGCACAAAAGCAAATGCACAAACTTTCTCTCTATACATACAGGATCACCTGGAGGACCTGGTAGTCCTGGCTTTCCATCTCTTCCTGGAGTGCCCTAGAAACAAATGCAAAAATTGATGGTCTTTAATCATTGATGAGGGACACAATACTTTTTGTTGTACATATAGAAAACTGTCACTTACATTCATTCCAGGGGTACCTGGAGTTCCTGGTAACCCTGGAGGTCCCCTAGGGCCCTAAGAGCAGGAAAGGTAATTTAGGACATAAAAATTCTTTTGTTGTAAAATTCTTAAATTAAATCAATGCTTTTTATATTAAAGACAAAACTTATGCCCTACCTGCACACCTGCTGATCCAGTTGGACCTATAGGACCCTGCAAGAAAACTCCAAATAATCAGTAGTTACACTTTCTGGGATAAAGGAGATGCATTTAATTAAAAAATACTGAATGTGGGATATAGGTGCAGTTTTCGTTGTGAGAAAGACTCGCTCTAAGGTCTGGCTTTAAATCCAAATGTAATTTTGTCAAAATTAAAGAATTCGAGACTTTGCTAAGGACCATTTTTAAGGGCAAGCAGTTCCAAAAATTAATGATTTGTGGTGAAAATTGTTATTTAGCCAGGAGATTCCTAAGAAAAGCTGATGAACAGTTGAATAAAAACAAATTTAGATATAAATGGATAATTTTAAAAATTTAGATACAAATGGATATTTTTTAAAATTCAGATTTGAAAATATTTTGACTGAAAAAATATTTTTAAGGGTTATTTTAGATTAAGAATTCACTGTGAATCTCTATGCACCTTTCACAAACATTTTCTCTCTATATCAGAGTACTGTCCATAAACTGGAATGTATCAGCTCTTCAGTCTGGACTGAAGAGAGATCGTCTTATTCACTGGAGTAAAACTCATGTAGCACCCAACCATCTACACCACCAATATCAGCAAATTTTTTTACTGAATACTCTGAAGACACAGCAGAAAGCTGTATTTAAAGGCAATAGAAAGAAAGAAACTTGGGAAACAAGCTGAGTAACTGAGACAGTTATTGCTGTACAAGTTATTCAGTATGAATGCCTTAGATAGACTGTATCAAATTGCTCATATTTGAATTTAAACTGCACAGCAACACGTGAAACAAGCTGGGAGTTGTGAATCAAGTCAGAAGGGAGTTCACAGCATGGCTGTTTAATACGCTTAGTTTGCTTACTGCAGTTTCACAGTGATGCACAGCAAGAAGCCCAGATCCTGGGCATTGGCATACTTACTGGTGATCCCTGAATGCCTATTCCAGGGGGCCCCATCTCCCCAGGTGCTCCCTGTACACCAGGTAGTCCTCTTTCTCCCTGTGAAAGGTCCAAGGCTTTCCATTACAACAAGTCTGAAAAGGCAAACTACCATTTTGTATTTTTATTTTTTATTTTTATTTTCTTTTTAAGAAACGGAAATAATATATTTTGTATACCTTTGGTCCCCGTGGACCGGGGTTTCCAGGAACACCAGTGGGACCCTAAAAAGACCAAAAACAAAAGAAAAAACAGGGAAAAAAGCCAATTATGTTTTAAAATCCAAGAGACTGGCTGAATTTTATTGCCAAAATTAGTCATCCTTCAGAAACAAACTATGAAAATTTACATGTCTTCCTTGTTAATACCGCTGTCATTAGGAGCATGTGTGAGTCTCGTACTCTTTTTAGACCGTATTTTAGTGCACTTATATATGTACTGTAACATTTATTTCCAGTGTGAAATTACATTTAGAAAAATACTTGCTTTGTGGTTTTAAACTGAGAGTAGATGAGATGTTAGAAAGACATTCTTTACTATGAGGATGGTGAGGCACAGGAACAGGTTGTCCAGAGAAGTTGTGGCTACCCCATTCCCAGAAGTGTTCAAGGCCAGGTTGGATGGGGCTTTGAGCAGTCTGGTCTAGTGGAAGATGTCCCTGCCCATGACAGGGGGTTGGGACCAGACGATCTTTAAGGTCCTTTCCAACCCAAACCATCTCATGATTTTACGATTTCTTTCTATGATTGCACAGTGACAATTCTTTAACAGTTGCCTCCAAGAAATAAAGTCAGAAAAGCTTTTTCAGATTATGAACTTACTGGTGTTCCAGGTAGACTTGGTCCAGGAGGCCCCATGTCACCTTTTGGACCTGGATGTCCAGGTGGTCCCATAATCCCACCAGGGTCACCCTACAAAATAAATTTGAATCACTAATTGAAATGTGAGAATTTTCTCCTATAAAAAACCTCTAAATATTATCAAGGTTATCACAGAATGTGCCAGTATTTGAGAAGAAATAAAGAAATAAAAAAAGCACTGATATTTTCCTTTAAAAAGTTGCAGAAGAAGAGGAGGCATGGACTACACAACCCTCAACTGTAACTAGCATTGTCTTGGTTTTCCATGCTTGCAATGTAACTGATCTACATTTCTTGGTCCCCAGGCCCCTCATACACAGGTTTTCATTAAACTCTGACAATTAATTCACAGCAACAGGTGGAACAACTCAGTCTCTCCCCAGCTATCTACCACTAGCGCTAAACCCGGGGTCCTCACTGTACTCCTACACTTCTCACATCAGTGCATGCAGTGTCTCTTGTCTCTAACTCCTGCTCCTTACAGAAGTGAATTTGGACTTTATATTATGCTGTCCTTCGTCTTTTGCATGCTCTTGCAAAATCTCTGTGATTTTTTTTCTGAATCCACTACTTCTCATTTTGTAAGATGAGTAGATTTTTGCCATTGTTACAGTTATTATCTTCTGTCTGTCTTCTAGCTCACTTTTTTTTTTTTTTTTTTTTTTTTTTTTTTTTTTTTTTTTTTTTTTTTTTTTTTTTTTTTTTTTTTTTAATTAATACTGGATTTTATTAGTTTCTCTTGCACCCCCCAATGTATAAATACCGTAACACATCACATAGTGATGTATCCTCTTTTCTCCCCTTCTCTACATTCAGTACATAAAATTTTTAACTCTTGCTGATGCAGCTGAATTGTAACTAAGGGATTCATACAAAGCAAAACACAATGTCATAAAGAGACACAGCCCTGGCTTGCATCTGAGACAGTGTAGCTGCCCCAGTGCCTAGATGAATATGTCTGACTGTGAAGTGGGATTTTACACATTAGTCCGGGAAGGGCACTACACTGAAATGGGTTTCTGTAGTCAGGACCTGAACTGACATTTCTGCACTGTACAGATTCAATGCAAGGGTGCAGTGCAACCTTCTTGAAATATTACTTAAATTATAAATCTGAAGAGAAACTGGGTTGCCAAACTGGCCTGCAGCATCTTCAAGAGACAGACAGGAGGTTGCTGCTGGTACATTTTAAAA